CTGTGTATTCAAAGTGGTTAGGATAGATATATAGTTACATTCTCTTAATGAATAGAGGGATTTGTTCTAATGGTGTTTGTAAATAGGATATCATGTACAGCAATTAACCTCTAGGAAGAAGGTAAAAAAAACTTAGTAATTCAGAGAATATCATAATAAAATTAATAGTGACAGGCCCTATACAACTATATATTTAAAATAAAAGTTAATAAGGTTACAACCTTTGTCTTTGGGGGTGACAATACAGTCTGAGATCCTCTTTTGTTTCTTATATGAATGTTGTGAGATTTTCATCATGGTTGACTAAAAGTAAAACAACAGAACAACACTATCTTAGTGTTGACTGGGCTAGAGACAAATATTTTTAATGAGTAAGAAGTTATTTTCCTGATGAAAAGTAAGAAGTCTAATGTTATTTGTGAAGCTCATTTCTCATTTACTTTTCATGTTTTGGACTTGCTTTCAGGCATAAGAACTTCTGTGGAAGATGGAACTCCTTGTCCATTTTCCAGAATGTGTTTCCAGCTCCATCCAAGGAACCTGATACTGCTGTTCTGTGCTGAAATGCTTGAAGAACACCCACATCTCTGCCTGTACCTTCCATCCTCCTGAAACCATGGTCTTCTCGCCAGTGTTGACAGCGTCCCATACGGGGGCATCCAACACAACCTTTGTAATCTATGAAAACTCTCCCATGAATATTACAGTCCCTCCACCCTTCCAGCATCCCAGTGTTGGTCCACTGCTTAGGTATAGTTTTGAAACCATGGCTCCCACTGGTTTGAGTTCCATGGCAGTGAATAGCACAGCTGTGTCCCCCACACCAGCAGTTTTTACGAGCTTAAACTTGCCTCTCCAGATCATCCTTTCTGCTATGATGATATTTATTCTATTTGTGTCTTTTCTTGGGAACCTGGTTGTTTGCCTCATGGTTTACCAAAAGGCTGCCATGAGATCCGCAATTAATATCCTTCTTGCCAGCCTGGCTTTTGCAGACATGTTGCTCGCAGTGCTGAACATGCCCTTTGCCTTGGTAACTATTCTTACCACCAGATGGATTTTTGGGAAATTCTTCTGTAGGCTGTCTGCTATGTTTTTCTGGTTGTTCGTGATAGAGGGAGTCACCATCCTGCTTATCATTAGCATTGACAGGTTCCTTATTATTGTCCAGAGGCAAGATAAATTAAATCCATATAGGGCTAAGGTTCTGATTGCAGTTTCTTGGGCAACTTCTTTTTGTGTAGCTTTTCCATTGGCTGTAGGAAACCCTGACCTCCAGATACCTTCCCGAGCCCCCCAGTGTGTATTTGGATACACGACCCATCCAGGGTATCAGGCATATGTGATTTTGATTTCCCTCATTTCTTTCTTCATACCTTTTCTGGTGATACTCTACGCATTCATGGGCATACTCAATACCCTTCGGCACAATGCCTTGAGGATCCATAGCTACCCGGAAGGTATATGCCTCAGCCAAGCCAGCAAACTGGGTCTCATGAGTCTCCAGAGACCATTCCAGATGAGCATTGATATGGGCTTTAAAACACGTGCCTTCACCACCATTTTGATTCTCTTTGCTGTTTTCATTGTTTGTTGGGCCCCATTTACCACCTACAGCCTTGTGGCAACATTCAGTGAGCACTTTTACTATAAGCACAACTTTTTTGAGATTAGCACCTGGCTACTCTGGCTCTGCTACCTCAAGTCTGCATTGAACCCACTGATCTACTACTGGAGGATTAAGAAATTCCACGATGCCTGCTTGGAAATGATGCCTAAATCCTTCAAGTTTTTGCCACGGCTCCCTGGTCACACAAGGCGAAGGATACGCCCCAGTGCTGTCTATGTGTGCGGGGAACATCGGACGGTGGTGTGAATATTGGAACTATCTGACATTTTAGGTGATGATTGTTCTTTATTGAGTTTATTGGATTCTTCACTTAAACTTTGTTTTTTATAGTGTGTGTGTGTGTGTGTGTGTGTGTGTGTATGTGTGTGTGCACGTGCAGTGTAAAGAATGAAAGACAATTGGTTATAATCATATTACCAAGGATATACAATAGGAACATGTTCACAAAAGTTACCTCCAGGGTTCAAAAAAAAATCCTTGATTTATAGTGGGGAGACAGTTCTGTGTGTGTGTGTGTGTGTGTGTGTGTGTGTGTGTGCATGTTTTGTTGACTGGTTTTATTTTTTGTAGTAGGAATCAGGATTGTGCTTTACTGAGCCTGCAGTTACCTTGAATTGTAGGTGTTTTGTATGCTGCTAAGGTATCTTATTTGAGTTCATCTATTGTTCTTTTTTTCAGAGCCACTGTTGCTTTTTTGCCATCACATTGGAGCCAAAACCTTTCATACACTAGTTGATAAATATTTAGTTTTGCTTAAAAAAAATCACCCAAGGAGGTTGGTGACATGTTAAAGGTCATTACCATTTACTTTGGTGCACTTTAAGAAGCAATGTACATATTAATTCAGTCGTATTTTTCTGAATTGTTTTTATACATGACATAATGCTTCAGGAAGCATGTACATTGTAGTTTCTAGTAATAGTAGTTTTAAAAGGTTTAATCTGCATGAACAATTTTAAAAGAGAATGTAAAGTACAGAACTGTTTCTAAGCACAGTAGCAATTTTGCAGAGCGACGGGAAAATCTAGGAGGCAACGCACCCTTGCAAATTGCAGAGGAGCACAGTGGGGAGGATGGCGGTGTGGACTGCGGCAGCCTTCTTACCTAAGGAGTCTCGGCAGTGCAGTAGGATAAAGCCTAGTACTTAGGAATGCTGTCTGTGCCAGGCATTGGGCAGCCCTTTACTCTCCAGGTATCCCATGAGATAGATAGCATCTTTTCATTTTCAGATGAAGAAGGAAAACCTAAGGATTAAAAATCCTGCCCAGGTGTAGTGGTTAGTGAATCCAGACATCTGTGAAATCTGGACACTGCACTGTCGCAGCCACTGTGCTCAGCTCAGATGTTTCATGGTCAAGAAAGAAGGCTGCATATTTTAAAACCTTCTTTTTGGAAATAGTTTCATTTTTCATTACCAAAAAGATACGAAACTGGTCCGGGGAGATGGCTCAGTAGAATAAGTGCAAGGGCCTGAGTTCAACCCCTGGTTCTGCCAAAAAGCCAAACCAAACCAAACCAAAACAAAACAAAAAAAGATATGAAACTAACAGGGAAAGTCTGGTTATAGACCACATGAAATCATTTTTCGAGTGGGATTTAAGTTACAAAAGGAGGTACAAATAAAAATGCTAAATGTAAAAATCAAATGAAAAGGTGGTTGGTTTTTGATTTGCAAAACAAGTGACTGACAATGCAATTAGATAGCTGCATATAAATCTTCCTCTTGTAGATCTTGCGATGGAAATTCTCATTGTCCGTCTGTGCTCATCCTATGTGCTCCACTGGGCAGAGGAGCGTCGTTGCCCCAGTTCTTGCCCTAGTGGAGCTGGAGTTTGTAAGCACACTTAGAAGCAAAGAAGGCAAAACAAACCCTGATCTGTCCTAGAGAGAGTTTTAATGTGGCAGGCCTGAAGTTTCTGTTTATTTTTGTCTTGATGACTGCCTGCCTTCAGGGGTGAGCCAGGCCCTTCAGTCAGCTTCTCTGTGTTACCATTAACACAGTTTATGAAATAGCCAACAGGGATGAGATTGCAGACTGAAGCCAAAAGGGCTCAAAGAATAGCCCCTGGGCTACATTATAACCTAAAGCTATAATTTATCTGTAGGTTTGTAGCATTTTTTTCTGAATTTTAGTGCTTTATGAGCCATTGGAAAAAAAATAAGTGTGGTTCTTCAATCATTAAATTAGAGAGTTGGTTTAATCTCTGAAGTCTTACTCAACTCTGATGCGCTTTCCTCATGAGAGGATAGAAATTTGAAGATCTCAGCTAACTCAAGCTTCACTCTTGTTCTGCAGTATTACATCTTTACATTTTATTTCATTTGCTGTTTTTTAAAATTCAATGCCTGAAGAGTTTGTGTCGTAGTGTCAGGAGTTAAGATGTTGGAAAGTTGGGACAATCGTGAAAGACCTGTGAAACCTGGCTTTTGAGGATTCATTGTCAGGCTAAAGAACTCTTTTAGGACTCAAGGACATTATTCAACATGTTGCTTTGGAATCCTCTTCAGATGATAGTCACCTACCTCTTTAATTTGTAATTTAGATTAATCACAGATAAGATGTTTTTCCATAGGAAAAACTTATCAGACATAAACACGATTGTAGACTAGCATAATGTTGAAGTGTATTTTGCTTTCCATTGTCAATGTAAACTGGATCTCAAGCAGATATTAAAAAGGATATTTGGGATTCAACTTTCTCAAGACAGCCAGCGTGATCTGTATTCATGTCGCATACCGATAGATCTTGAGACTCCTTTTGTAGCTGGAGTTGAACCTGAGCTTGGTTTGCTTTGTTCTTCTCTCTTGAGCAGCTTTCTGTGCTTTTATGCTGCTGAGCAGGTAGTGCCTCATTGGTTGAGAGCTCTGGAGTGGTTGTGTGGGTGCTCACTGTCTGGGAGAGAAGACTGGGGGCCTTTGTGAGAATTTAGCACAACACTGAGCAGTGGTTTTCCTTACACTGGATAATCTTGATCAGATGACAGTTTACACATAATTTTGAACATTTTATATATACATTTTGTAAGCTTTAAAAAAACCTATGATGCACCTTCAAGAAACTTAGGTGCAAAACTGCATGTTGCTTATTCCCCCATATTTTCTTGAGGGGGGGAAATACCACTACTAAGTGTCACTGCTGACTGACGTAATCAGAAATTACACTCTTTTGGTTTTTCCTTGTGGCCACTAAATACATAGTATGCAGGTGGCATGAGAGACATAGCAGTTTTGGTCAAAAGAGGAAGTAAAGGGACATACCAAGTAGTATATAGTAGTGCTATTTAAACTTTAGTGTTTATATATTCTTTAGGGGATCTAAACTGTACACATAACTCCTGGGCCTACGGAAGAGGGGTCTGCGGTGGGAGCCAGAAACATACATTCTTATTTTATTGCGCAATTTGCTTGATTCTGTTTCCTGTGGTCCCTGGGGCACATTTCCAAAAACCACCTCTAGAAAAATCTATGAAGTTAAGCAGTGTCTATTTTCTCTCATGACACCTGTTTTATGTTGGAAGCTATTATTGCCTAGTGCATGCCTGAACTACACTGGGAGAGAGATCTACCCAGTGTCGGATTGGCTGCCATGGACAACAGTGCAGATCTGGCCAGGGTTAGTTTTACTTTCTTTTAGCTGGCAAGAATTCTGGTAAACTGCATAGTTTCACAGTGGAACGGAAAGTGTCACTTAGTGATGCGAAGTCATACCTTTCAGAAGTCCAATTGTTCTTATATTTCCTTTGTCCTAGAGCCATATTTCTAGGGCATTTCTTGATTGTATGTAATTTCTTGCAGAATGTGAGAAGAATGTAAAGACCTTTCTAATTCCTGTTGCTCTGTTTATGCCGGTTGTATTCAATGGAAGCATGAAATAAAATAACCTTTTTAATCCATGTATTTCTGTTGCCAACAAAGATGTTATGTTTTGATCGTTGCTTTTGTTTACATGACAATATGTATATATCACAAAAGTTTTCACTTGCTTAACATTTTAATGTGCATCATGATTTTTAGTTTAAATTTAAAGAACTGCTAGATTCAAATTTATCTTCACAACCGTAGCCCTGCTAAGCTGAAAACTCAGTTTTTATAATAATGAATAAAAATATCAAAGCACACGTTTGTTATTGCAAGTAAATGGTAATAATTTCTTAGGTATCTATTGATACTAGTCATTTATAATTAAAGTTAATATATTTTACAGTAGCACCTGGCACATATTTTAAAAAGTAATCTTTAAGTTTCAAGAAGTATGGATATTTGTGCATATTCTTTTTATAACCAAGAAAAGACATCCCGATAAGGAAAGGAAGAAATGTTGAACATTTCTACAGTGGAGTTTTTAAAAATTATTTCATCTCATCTTGAAGGTTTGTTATGAATTCTACTTTCTGTTGAATTAAAATCTCAATTTAGTTTCAAATCTTGATTCCTTTGGGTCCTTATTTTCAGGTTACCTTTCAAAGCCTGTGTGAATGTAGCCATTAACTTTAATCTCTCTTTATAAGTGCTAAGGATGAACTAAAAATTGACAATAGACTATCAATATGAAGAAATAGTTTTAAGAAATTCTATCTAGGAAAGTTACAAAATTTTGTTTCTGACTCATTTAGACTATCAGATAACAAAGAAGTGAGAATGTTTGCTTGTAATTTGATGAAATAATTTCATACTACAATTTTTTTTTCTTTTCTTTCTTTTTTTATTTTAGAGAATGGTCTACAGGGAGTTCAGGGTCTCACTACTAGATCGGACTCATAGTGATCCACCTGTTCACAGCCTCCCAAGAGCTGGGTTACAGGCACATACTACCATGCCCAGTCTCAATCCCTGTCTCATTGTGCCCCTGGAGGGCGAGGCTGGCACAGCAAGCCTGGGGATCGAATCCCTAGTCCCTGCTCCTGCTTACAGGCTCTTTAATCTGCTGAGCTCTTTGGCTGGCCCTTACAATTTCATTTCTTAAATGTAAAGCCTTTCTAAAACTCACAAATCCATAAAAAATCATGTATCTGTATACAAATATATATATGTTTGTATATTTTGTGCCGGTTAGACACTAAAAATTAGAGTTTTATTTTCTCTTTCATGTGCAGCAGCTAAATACATTTCTTTCTAAGTAACAAATGAAGGTTGATTTAAAAAAGCAGGTTGTCACTAGATCTGCATTCATTTTTTTCTATTAAAACAGGAAAGTAACAAAGATACAGCAAGATAAA